AATATTTTATATATATATATATATATATATATATAATGTATGTCTGTCTTGTCATGTGTGGGATTTGTCAAGGAATAGCGACCAAATACATTTGAAACTTAGCAGACATGGAACGAAAGAGAGATCTACTACCAACCAATCAATGAAAGTGATGTTTAAAAACTCAGCATATTACATGAATTTTCAAATTAGGTCAGGTTAGCCTTTGGAGCATTCATCTTACCATGTTTTTGAGTAATGAGAGGATAATTTCCACGACTCATTCTCTCATCGGGTATAAGATTTTCAGGTAAGTTCTGAGTACGAGAGGTCTTAACTAATATATACTTAGCTTTGGCCCTTAGCATAATTGGAACTCAATTGCAATGTAGAGTTGACTTAATTAGGCCTGCATCTTTCCAATTGAGCATGGACTTCAAACACCTAATGCATGATAGAAAAAGGTAACAACGCAAAGGGAGAGATAGTGGAGCAAGTATGCAAGGAAAAGGGACACCACATGGTTGAATGGCCAAAAGGGAATTATTACAAACTTATGGGTCATGCAAGTTTGGTGATAGCAATGAGTGGAGCTTATAGATTTTTGTGAAACCAAAGTACCGCACAAAGTGCTTCTAGTCTCGTACAAATATATTGTGGGTGGAAAATGCATGTGGAAAATGTGCTTTTGCTTTTGGATTAAATATTGCAATCTGTTTTGCTTGGCTGTACGTCTAAGCGTTTTTGGATCAATAATAGGTCACTGGGAATTGGCAGTTGCAAGCAGATCCATTAATGGATTCTAGGCATTTGCTTGCTGGGTTTTCATTTCAAAAAGGTTTCAACATCTTCCAAATGGGAGATGATGAGGAACGTGGACACTCAAGACCTCTTCCTACATGAGGCAAAAAAGAAGAAAAAAATCGTTAGTCATAAAAAGTGATTTCTCTTCTCTCCCAAGTTCCCAACCCAAGCAAATGATGGGACAAAGCTCATTTCGTAAAAGGAGACCAAATTCATTCCTCTAGCGGCTGGTTCTCCTCGTCGGGGCAGGCTACTCGAATCTCCGATATATGGCCGGCCTTTTTTTAAAGCTATGAGAAATAATGAAATAATCAAGAGATTAAGGGCACTACCCCTATCTATAGGTACTCTAATATGACTAAATGCATTTGTATTCTTATGCATGTGGAGAAAGGGACCAATAGCCTTGTTTTTGTTCTCTGTAATTAGGTACTCTTAATCTTCCTCCTTAAGTTGGATCATGGTTCTTCTATCAGTTAGTAAACGAATAATTAGGTACACTGAATCTTCCTCCCTAGGTTAATTTTTTTCTTTCAGCTCCTTCATATTAGATTAAAACACATGGAACATGGTAATCAATTTCGAGAAGTAAAATAAGAAGAAACTATTCACTGTCTGGAAAAATGGATGCATATACATATACAACCAAGGGATATGAATGCAGGAAAACCAAAGAGCATGCATGCATGTAGAAAAACCAATTAGTCAGCAAAATCAAGATAAACTTGTCGTTGTGGCTATTAAGATCACTACCAAATCCAACATTTTCCCCACTTTGCTCTATGATGACATTTGACTTTTTCTATCTAAGATTCAAAGTGGCCACCAAATAATTATAACTCTTGTTATTTTTTCACCCCTTGAGAAATCATAACCGTTGTTAGTTTCAAAACAATCCCTTAAATATCCTGAATAAACAAATCCACTATCTATCTAGCTAGTGTGGATCATTGTAACCCCAAAAGACATAGAAGTAAGGATGTGTATCAAATCAAATGTGACACATTAAGAATATATATATAGACATAATCATATAGTCGATAGGCATCATGCCATGCGCATGTCCAGTTTGTCATTTCAAGTGCATAAAGCCAAAGAGAAAAAGTGTTGCAATAGCGATTCGAAATTACAAGTTAATTAGTTTTAGAACTGAATGCTATACTTGACGCTTTGTAGAAATTATGTTTACTCAGTGCTTGAGCATCTAGAGATGACTATTGAGATAATGTTATATGCTCAAACATAACGATGATTTTCAGGTCGTTATTAGATTTTGACGCATTTTTTAGGTTATCTAACTCGCTACTAGTACTCTTAGTTGGATTAAGACTGTCACAAAGTGTCGTGTTTTTTTCCTATTATCTTTCAGTCAGGAACCATGTTGGCTCTTATCTACCCCAAGTAATTTTAGTTATACCAACCAAATTATCAAAAGCTATCATCATCACCCTTTGATCTTTGCTAGAAGCTACAACTTATGTTGTATCTAAAAGGGATGCACCTTGGACGGTTTAAATTAAGTAACTTTTTAAAAGGATCCTGTTATTAGGCCATTTAAAATAAAAACTGGGTCTTCACTTTCACAGAAAAATTTAGTTGCAATAGAAATAAGTGTCACGCCATCATATTCATCATATCGTTATTAACTGAAAATAACAAAATTGTGATATTTCCGTTTCATCAAAGTGTTTCTGCTATGCTTATGTTTTGGGGTTGAAGAAATTGATCCATGCTTCGTATTTAGGGCAGACGAAGTCAGTATCACAGAGATCACTGATCAGATTAACGTTGACGGCAATCGATAAAAGGTATTATAATATATATGCTAATCAATCAGAAACGGCACGGGATCCGGAGATTGTGATCAGAGACAACCGGATCTACAGCAGTTTGCAGCAGCCGAAAAAATCGTAGCAATCCCATCCCACATTTAAAAAACAAAAACAAAAACGTCTGTCTGTGATTTGGCTTACTTGTTTGGTTATTCATTTCAATCAATCACATCGTGCACTGCGCTCTACACTATCCTATCCTATCCTACTACTACACTCTAGCACAGCTACAGCGTTTAGTAATTTGTTTTTTAAAATATATAGGTGGTACGTATACCCACCCAGCCTGCCGCTACTGCAATTTGCTGATTTTCTTCTGCTTCGTCACTGTAACTGGGGAGGGGAAGGGGGTTCATGTCATGCGTAGCATACTACTCGCTCTATTCATTCGGAACGTGTCATGGTGTTCTTAGTTTTTGGGAAAGGTGTGAAGAGATTTGCTTTGGTTTATGGAGTTCATTAAAATCATCAAATCAAAGGGCAGATGGGTTGATTTAAGGAGACACCATAAATACAGATCACAATCGCATTGGCGAGTTTTTATTTTATTTTTACTATAATATTATAGTATAGAATGACTCAACTAACCTAACCCTAACATTATTTGGGCCCATACATACATAAAACTTGGGTTCATGTAAGGTCCATCAGTTGCATACCAAAGCCCAACCCATTAAGCCCACAGGTTTTTTATTTTTTTATTTTTTTATTTTTATCAAAGGATTTTTCTCATACACATTATCAAAGTCTGAAATCCGGCTGTACTTACACTATTCAACCCCTCCCAAAAAAAAAAAAAAAAAACGTTTTCTATATCTACGGGGATGTATTTTTACAAGCGACATTAAGGTACAGGGATTCAGACACCTGAATTGACCACTTGAGCTCAGAGTAAGGATGCCTTTGATATCACGCTTTAGATGTAGGTAATATACCAAATAAGTAGTAGCTCAAGCACATACTAGTGTAAAGTTATAAAACACATGCATTTAACAGATTAACTGCAGCAAAAAGGTACCCAAAGTGAAGTGGGTTTGATCAATGGCAACATCATAAAAGTCAAAGATAAAAAATCGAACAAAAGATGAAATATGCAAAAGTCGACAATCAAAGTTTAGAACGAAAATTTGATCAAGATCGATTCGATGCACATTTTGCACAAACGGACACAAATTTATACATGGTTTTCCTAATAGAAGATTCTAAGCCACTCTCTAGTGCCTGCCTGATTCCTGTACATTCAGAATCAAGAAGAAACTAAAGTCTGGGTAGTAATCAACTCTCAGTAACTTGAAATTTGTAGTTTGTTAATGCTCTCTTCTTCAGCAATTAATCCGTGTTCATCTCCACCAGCAATATTCACACAATTTTCTTTTCAATCGTCGACTTTTTTGTTTTTTTACTTTTTTACTTTTATTACTTTTTTACTTTTACCTTTCTCTGCCGTGGGCCCCATCCGGGTTCTGATCCGTCGGAGTGTATTGAATCTTCCTCTGCGTCAGCAAGCAGCACAAGAAACGAGAGCCGTCCGATGGAGCAGCTTTCAACACCTTGGTTGTTGTTCCCGCCAAATCTCCTACCCCGTTCAGCTCCTTCGGAGGCGGCAATGGCGTCGCCGGAGATGACGCCACCGACTCGCCAGCGTCCGAGTTCTCCGTTGACTCGGCACAAGAATTCTCCTTTGAGTCGCCAGAGTAATCCTTAGACTTGATCCTCATGCTGTCGCCGTGCCGGCGCCTGCGCCCGAAGCTCTCTCCCTTCCCCATCAGATCGCGGTATCCGATCGCCGACATCTCGTTCACCGCGGGAGCCAGATCAGAGCCGTCGATCACCATCGCTCCAACATTCAACACGCCGTAGAACCTTCCAGAAGGTCGCCGGATCTGGACCGCGGTAAACGACGGCATCTTGGAGTGGACGTCAAGAAAATTGTTTATCAGAAATCGGACGGAGCCGACGAGGTGATCGCGGAAGGTACCAACGGCGTAGATCTGGACGGAGACGGCGGAGGTCTCGCTGGAAAGGAAGCCCGGCGGAACCTTGAAGAGGAACCGGTCGTTCCAGGTTGGGTTCGAGGCTCCGATCTTGTCGACCCGGGATCGGAGCTTGTGGGCCGAGTCGACCCAAGCGAGTGCGTAGGTCTGCATGCGGCGCAAGGTACCGGCGGGGGCTTTGAGGCCCTGGGCGGAGATGAGGTGGATCTCTAGCACGCGCATCGTGTCCTCGTGATCTCCATTTTCTTTCTTCATCATCGCTTTCGGGGGGGAATCGACGGACGCGATTCGGTCAAGAAAGCAGTGAAGAAAGCGGACGGTCTTGATGAGATTCAAGAACAAGAAGGCAGTCGCCGCAAGACATGCCGGTTAAGAGAGCCAGAGCGGGAGGGAGAGGAGGGGCGGGGGACTCTGTAGAAAAACACGAGCTTCCGAAGTCGGTGGGTCCGATTTAGTTGGGGGAATATTCTCTGGGAAATGAGGTGGTTGGTTTGGGTTTGGCCATGGTGTCCAGAGTCCAGTGTTTACAGGGTGGATGATCTAGTGGAGTAAAATTTGTGGTGCAACTGGGGTTAAAGTAAATCCAGTGGATTTTAGTTGGCACTTGGATGGTAAAATAAAATTAATGGTGTTATAAACGGTTTTTTACTTTCTTAATTTTAATTTGGAACTGGCATTCCATTTTTATTGTTAACCACTTTTCCTCCAATAGGTAGCTCCTTCATTAAGCAGAGTAATTCGTGTATAACAAACCAACATTATTTTTTCCGCAAACTACTCAAGACTCGAGAACTACTGTATCAAAGATAGAAATCGAACAACGCAAGCTGGAAGGTATATATTCAAACAGTTCTTTATTATTCTGTAAAACTTAAAAAGACCAGACAAAGTTCACACATTGTAGATACAAAGAGATTCAAACCCCACATTACAACAACTCAACATTTCTTTTAAGAATGATCGAGACAAGGAGTGACCTTTCTTCACATTGCAACACCAACGGCCCCCTCCTTCAACGGATCGTTTGATGGTTTCATGCAAGAAGTTCCAGGTGGTGATGCTGCTCTATACCTCCTTGTCCTTACTTTCTTCTTCTTAGCCAGCTTTTTCTCCAAGTCTTTCACTCTTCCGGTCAGTTTAGATATAACTTGCAACTGTTCGTTTCCTGCTTCCATCAACTTCTGCATCATTTCCCTGAGTTTCACATTCTCTTCAACTAGGCATCTTTCATTTTCGACTCCCACGGCACATCGCTTGGTGGGGGATGCCAATTCACTCTTCTGCACTGGAGTAGATTGTGTCTCAAGGACGAGATCCTCTTCGGCAGTTTCAGCACCACTCGCCAGTCTATTGTAGTCCTCGCATTCAACTTTGTTACCCTCCACCTTTCTGTCCTCTCTGGCGGTTGCTGCTGGCTGGTATTTTGAGTCTTCTGTACTTCTCTCAATTGGCACTTCATCCCCGATAGGCCTCCCCGCATCAGCCAATACAGAGGAGCAAGTAATATCACCGTCGATTATATCTGAAGGTCCATCTTCATGCACGGCATCATGAGTTTCAATCTGAACAGGTAAGCTCAATGGTTGGGATTCAATCGACTCAAAGACCAGCGGGAGAAAATCATCTTTGCTGGCTTCTTCTTGTGGCGGGAGCTCCACCTCTGCCTTAAGCACTGAATCTCCAGGGAGTTCCTCATCCTTGTGAGAATCCATCTTTACTGGCTCCTTCGATTGGAGAATAGGCTGCTCCTCCATTTCTCCCTCTGGCTGTAGCTCTAATTGATCCAAATTTGGAGTCCCATCATGCTGTGAAGTGGCATCAAGTACCATTTGATGCTCTTCTTCTCCACTTTCTAAGACATCATACTCCTTCACTACCTCGACTTCTTCGATCTTCTTAAACTCATTAGCCGGACTCTCCTCATCAATCATGCTCTGTGGCAAATCTGCTTGCTCATGCATCTCTGCTTCCTCATCAGTCACATTAGCACCAGCATTGGGTGATGTTACATCTGGTGACATTTCTAATTCCACTTCACCACTTTGGTGGACTTCGTTCTTGTTCATTTCTCTTTTTTCATCCTTCTCAGGCTCTGAAATGGCAGGCTCATTATCAGTCGCTCCTCGAGGCAACTCTTCAAGCTCTATTGTCTGTGGATTCATATTAACAACTTCAGAAGAGATACCTGTACAAACTGTCTTGTCTTCTACAAGAGATGGAGATTCACTACATTGCTTGAGCTCAGTGGAACCATTGCCCATTTCTGTGTTTACCGTACTGATTTCTCCAGAATTATTTTGTCCATTAACCACATCATTCTTCTGTTCCGTAACGGACTCCGAACCAAGATCTTCAGATTTTAGACCACTTGCCACTGGCAGTTCTTGAGCACTATCCTCAGATGCTTTGTGCAGCTCTCCATGGTCAGAGAGGTCTGGCTCCTTGGTTCTCAGAGCAGGCACATAATCGGTAGTGTAAAGCACTTGCCCTTGACAAGGCTCTGTCGCATGGTGACTGCTATCACTACCACCATCAGCCGGTCCTTCACCAAGTCCTTTCACTTCATCTTTTTGCTCTAGCATGCAGTTATTGTTGTTGGCATTGGAACTGATCTCTTCCACACGTGTAATAGTGGATGCCTCCTGTGGTGTATCTTGACATTTCTTAGCGATTAGATCATCAAGCTTTTCCTGCAAAACTACAAGCTCCCTTGCCAAGGATCTTCTAATGTCTCTGAAGCTTGGGAGCAAACCCTGTTGAACAACAATAAAAGAAAGAACCAGATGAGCATAAATATTGAAAAAAATCCCACAATTTCAAATATATCTGCAATCCTTCAAGGCCTAAACCAAATATAGCTTGGGCAGATTCAGATGCCAAATTCCCTATCCAACACCATGCATCACAAAACCAGCACACATTTCAATTACTTCTTTTTCTTTTTCTTTTTGTTCAAACCTAAATTGACAATACGTGAAAAATGGTTCATTATCTGTCCATCTGTATATGCGTCTGAATAAGAGTGTGTGCATGTGTTTGCATAAAGGATTTTCACATGCGAGGCAACCACGCAGTGATGCACACATGGAATTTTTTAAATCTTGGTTAGCATACACCCAAATTTTAAAAGATAAAGACCAATGTTTCCATAAGAATCCAACGAGAAAGTAAAAATTGATTAAATGAGCCAAGCACATACCTGAATAGTATCCAATTTGAGAAGAAGTCTCATGATGGTTTCCCCAACTACCACCTTTTGCTTGTCATAGTTCTGGAGATCAGAAGTCTCCAAAGATGTGATATGATTCCGAACATCACCCACCTGCTCACGCACTTCAGCTATTTGCTTCAGTTTCTTCAATGGTTCCCACCTCCTAACCTCGAACCCACGGTAGGCAGATTGAATACGCACAGCAGCTTCTATATCTGACATGGTCTTTTTCTCAAGTTTTCTTCCATCAACGACTGATTTGACCGTCTCTGTGGGCTTCTTTATCTCTTCCACATGGTCAACTGTTGTATCTCGTGCCTTTCTTGCTCCTTCATCCTCATTGACCTCACATCTAGTTTCATCTTTCCCAGCTTCCCGAATGGTTGGCTTCCTGGATATCCCCTCTTTGGAGCTAACGGGAATCTGGGGTGTACGCATCGCATCCTTGTCTACAGTGCTGTTCCTATCCACCACTGGAATAACCCTCTCCTTTTTGGAAGGCTCCACCTCCTTGCTGTTCCTTGGAGCAGATTTTGAATCTTGTTGCGCGTTCTCTTGCAAGCCCAAAGAAGCAGAGGGTTTGGTAGCATCAGTTGAACTCTCTTGCTCGAGTCCTTTTGCACCAGGAGGACTAGGAGATCGCGAACTCCCATTTGCCTTCTTTTTCTTCGGCAAAGGATCAACTCTGAGGCAAACAGGAGGCAGCTCAGATGACTTTTTTGGGAAAGAGGATTGTCCTCTGACACTGGTACCAGAAGGTTTGTAAGCTACATTGTCTTCTACATGTTTCACAGGGACACTTCTTCCTCTTCTCTCAGTGTCTTCATATTTGTTCTCCTCCTCCTCTTGATTCATTTGCTTCACATCTATGCTTTTCTGATTAGCAGTCTTTTCCTTTCTCTCAACAACACTCTGACCAGCAGGTTTCTCTTCATTCACTCCAGTCTCGTTTGTAACATCACCCTTCTCAGAAATGTTCATTGGAACAATCTTAGGAGTGGAATTCATTTCCCTCTTGTCCTCCTTTCCTACTTCCTCCTCCTCCATGTTTTCATAAGGCAACCAGAAGAACGGAAATGGAAATTGCTTCTTTTGGTCTTCACACTGCTGATCCTGAGAAGCATTCACATCCTTATCCTTCTTTCCAATCTCCTCATAAGATGGCACCCAGAAAATTGGAAATGGAAATTCCTTGTTTTTATCCTCCATCTGTTTCTGTTGATCCTGAACCTGCCCCTTATTTCCACCTTGCATCAAAGACCCAATGTTGTTCAAGTCAAAGGGCAACCAACCATGCCTTTGATCTCCTTCCTGAGACTCCAAACTCTCATGAGGCTTCGAATTACATGGAATTTTCTTCTCATCTATGGTCTCTGGTTCAGAGAGCTTCCTTTGCTCTCCACCATTCATGGATTCGGGTGGAATCCACACAATTGGGTAAGGGTTGTTTTTCAACTGAACCGGAACCAAAGAGTCATGCGCCTTCTTTTCAACAACCGGTCCTTGTTCTTCAATCTTAACACCCTTATCCATATTCTGGTGGCGAGGATGATTAGGACACCCACAGCAGTGAAAACTTGGAGGCATATTCTTATCATACTCATATTTAGGAATCTCCATAGAATAATGAGGAGGAGGAGGTACATAGTGGACAGGGTAGGCTTCATGATATGGAAGAGGATAACCCCCATAAAAGTATACTGGTGATGGCATTGAAGCATAAGGGTGAGAGGGTCTGAAACCATCGTGGCCGGGGACGTTGTTATGGCTACAACAAGAATGGCACGAAATTGGGTAGCTGTAGTTGCC